TCAATCTTGGTGGCATAATCAAGCTCCCCAAGGCCGTCGTAGGTACCCGTGTAGAAGGTATAAAGGCCGACACAGTCGCCTTTTGTCATGTCCAGCGTAGCATTATTTAAGGTAGGAACCGGGCGATTTGGGTTAGCAACTGGTGTCTTATATGACAATTGCAGCTTGACTGGTTGAGTGCCAAGGTCGTTGCGAACCTGTCCTAGAATGTCAACACTTTGTAGTGAAGTCACAGATATGAAGTCGCACTCACAGCAGCCACAACTTTCAGATTGCCTTCAAGCAGACAGCTTTGAGGTTTCTGCATGAGAATGGCATCCTGTATGGGGTACGAGTTCCCGTTGTTATCATAGGCCTTGGATGTCCCACTGGCCATGTTGACGGTCAAGGTGAAAGAGGAGATACCCGATGAGGTTGGAATTTGCACACTAATCGGGAACCACTAGAGCTTTCATTAATAAATTGGAGACGAGACGACCGAGTTCCAAGGAAATCCGATGTGTACTCACCACAAACGTGTCGTCAAAGCCTTGGATAGCACCCAGAAGAGTAGCTTTAGATGTGCATCCTAGGGTGCTGCAATTGTCGCCACCATTTCGGTCCTTGCATGTGAGCGAAACACTCTCGGCAGTGTCAGTTCCAAAATCAGTAGTGCGAACTCGGATCAGCCCAGATAATTGCATGGTTGAAGCTCCAGAGTTCAGCGTGAGCTGCATATCGACTGGCTTGACAGCATAAGGCTGAATGGGATCAGTCAGGACGACGCCGTCGGGAACGACTTCTATCATTTTGCGCAATACCGTGCTGCAAACATTGGTGAATGTCTCTGGATCTGTCAGAGTAGATATCGTCACGTTTCCATCCGAATTGAAGACCTTGAAGTCAGAGTTTCTCGTGGCTTTGATCGAAGGGCCCACAACCATTGGATTCGTCGTATTGCCCGACACGTATTCGGTGACGACTCTATTGTCGAACTTATCTACTGTTGAGTCCATTGGGCCCTCGCCATCTTTCGTAGTGCCCACTGGAACGATTTCAGGGAATTCGGTTTCGTGGACTCCACCGATAGTATGACCGCATGCAACAACTTGTATCATCTCGGTTTGACTGAAGCCCATGCGCGTGAACTGCTGCTGGAATGTGAAGGCCGAGTTTTGGGGCAGAGGCACACCGATAGGGCCACCTGCCGTAGCATCAACCCGACCACCAGCAATAGGGACAATTGGACCACCACAGGATCTTACGGCATAGTATACACCCAGCGCTAGAAGATCGGCCACGCCAGATTTGCTTGTATAGTACTTTAACACTCGGGGTCAGTAATCATCCTCTTGAGCCTAATCTAAGTAGCTATCGAAGCTACTGGGGGCTTTCCCAAAGCATGCTTTTCATGAAGAAAAGAAGATTTTCCGCTGGGGGATCAGACAAGGACAGGAAGGTTACAACTCCGAGAATCACTCACGTCGGCCATAAAGGTGAGAGTTGTATTGAATGCCGGGCCAATGTTGTCTGAACTCGTGATTTCATATTGGAGCGAACCGTCCATACCGCCCTGGCGCGGACCACCCGCAATAGTGGTTGTCGCCATGTCGTGGAAGGCGGCTCTCAGCCATTCTGCGGCATTGTGACGGCCAGGTCCTGAGGCTTCACTCGAGCAGGGTATAACAGTTCCGCCAAACTGTCGAGAGCGATAGCCTTGCACTTGATACATGATCTCTTCTAGCTCGTCGATCTGGGAAGGCCATGTTGGGTCTGTTCTTGCCAGCGTGCTCAGCGAGAGCATCGCCGACAGAAAATGTGTATTCCAGCGCATGATAAGGACTCAATCTGGGACGGAGCCAGAATAAGACAGTATTAAAAATTAATAAGTTCAATGAAAGACAGCCATCCCAAGCTTTTGATTTGATGGGATCGGCGCACACAGAGAATCACCTCGAACATGATGATCACAAGACAAGAAGAACAAGAAGGACTTTAATACTATATCAAGTTGCCAGCCATATCCAGTCTACATTAGCCGACATGATCGTTGTTAGACCCTGTCGACCCCTGCTTAGGTACCACAGTAGCGGAAATGGAATACGAGAACTGACAAAAGTGGCTGATGGGATTGGCGAACATGCTCCCTGACATCCAGCCGCAGAAGTGGAACGAACGACTAATGCAGGCCGGCAGCAGACGTGAGATGGAGACCGAGACATTATTGCTATACATACCCTACGCAATAGGTGTGTATATGTCTTCTTGATGGTGGTAAGGACATATATGCGGTATCAAGGAGGCAAGAAATGTGATGCGACCTGGTGATCCACAACGTGGGATCTCCAGGGTACTGTCCAGGATTCACGGGACCTACCGAACTCAACCAGATCTTTTCCCCGAACCAGGACCCATCGGATCCCGGTTACTGATCGAAGCTGAGTGCGCTAGTTAGCCAACTGATCGTCATCAGCCTTCTTTGAGGCTCTTTGGACTTACTGCCCAGTTCTAGCCAAATACAACATAGACCTACTTACTGGTACTGGTAGTTCCTTCAACTCCGCCGTGGTATACGTGTATGAGCACATATTTTGTTGAAAATTTCCACCAGCTTGGCGTGCAGATGCATGGCGTCGCTCTGATGGCTCGCTTAGCGGGCGCCTCATAAAGCGGCCAGCGGCCAGACCCTCAGCATTGTGGGGTTGAATCAGCTTAAACAGCTCTACCCGAGGTGAGGAATTGGCATTCAGGTGACGGTAGAGAGAAGCCCCAAGCAACAATATTCTTTCAGCTTAACAATACTTAGCTCCCGAATTGGGCAGGTCTGAGAGAACAATGGTTTGTCTCGGCAGCCTGGCCCCGTAGTGTAGTGTAGTGTATGCCGGTCGAAATCCTTGTTGACTGAGGAATTAAGGGTCCTTGAATGATCCAGCTATGGATCTATGAAGTAAAAATGGTCTCTAAGTTCACGTAGGGTCAGACAGACTATATCAGTCAGTTGGTTGGTGAATCGCACGGCGTCCTGCTCCGCCTGTCCTGCAGATTAGTCAACAAACAATAAATGTGATACCTACCTACCTACCTACAGGTTCGGCGGTTAGAAAAAGAATGACCTGCACATGGTGAGGATGGACCGAGAAACACATTTTCGGGCACTGTCCGGGGTCGAAAGTCCCAACGGTTACCTAACAGGCTAACAGCAGTGCAGTAGAGAGGCGAGAGGTACGGAGTACTTTAAGAACCCCCCAAGGGTGTCTTGGATCTATCCTGGTCATCCAGTCGGCGCTAGTGGCCAGGCTAGATCTGTGCATGAGAACCCCTGCTGCCGTTGTCAGCGCGAACAGAACTCGAAGACAAATCTTTACCATCTATCATTGTCCACACTCGGCGTGATACCTATGCGTTGAATCTGGAGAATGTTTGTGAGGCTGGCCACCTGCCTATCAGACAATAGACGATGGAACCATGACAGTCTTATAATAGCCATAGAGTCGAGAAATGAGTTATTGTCAGCAGACGCATGTTTCTCTCTGGTACGACTGAAGAATGACCGGTCTTTTCATCCGCAATATCGAAACAACCAATTCCTTTATAGAGACGAGCGTTCGTCGTAGCTCTATGATCTGATACAGCAAAAGATCTTTATTTTGAGGACTTAAGCATCGGGTGCCATGTGTTAGGCTAGGCACCTCTCGAGACCTTGTACTACCATTGGGGAGGGTTACCTAGTGGGACAAGTGCGGAATTACAGGCACAATACCGGTATTCCGAGACAGGTCACAACTATATTACCAGACAAGCCGATCGGATCAGCGCTAGGAGTATTGGCAAACAGTCGATTACTGAATAGGATCTCCGAAAAGCCCTAAACACACAAATTGTGTATACACTGTATTTTGTATTTCATGGCACAAGTACCTATTTGATATATGCGTATCAACCGCGATACAGGTAGTGTTTCCGTGTTACTAGGTTTGTCACCATGTCATTATAAAAGTTGGTTGGTGATACCGTTTCTGGCAGGAGCTGAACAAATGGGTGAATCGTCGGCATCATGCACTAGCCAAGTGAGAGTATGGTCCAGCAGAGGATAATCATGTATTGGTGGAGCTGCAGCTCAGCATATACAGCCCGTAGATGTCGACGTCGTCAGACGGTGAATTACCCTAGTACCTACTCGGGTTAATGCGTAGCCTTGTCTTGCTGCTATTGTCGAGGCTATTGTCATTTGACCCAGCAATTGCAACTTTAATATGCAGTAAGAGTAATGTTTCCTGCATGACATTGGTCCAGACCGCCGTTACTGGTTCAGGTGCAACGAGCAGGCTATGGCTGACAATAACATGGTGTTATTGTAACCCAAGCCAGGCGGTTAGTTCATGTCAGTGCCCGAGAAAGAAGAGGAGCATGTATCGGTGTAGGTTGCTAGAAAAGATATTAGATATAGCCCAAGACCGACTTTTGGGCGTTAGGTCTCTTATTCATGATAGACCGGTTGAGCAGGAGTTGTACAAAACAGGTCAGGCGATATGGCGACTCAGTTTAGATTCGGATAGGCAAGGATAAAGTGCCTGGCCAGATTCTACGAAGCGTTTTGAGGGAAGCTGATGTGGTACGGTAAGAATCGTACAGCATTGGGTATAGGTTCAGCCACCAGGGCTGTATGACAACATGACCACCTACAACCTACACAGTACATGCATTTGGAACGAGGAAGTATTCCTGTTCGCTGCCCTTGTAATTAATAGCTGATTATCCACGTTATAGTTAGAGAAGTGGTGCTACCACCTGATGCATCACGTAGAGTCGCGTTCATGTAATGAAATGGTTCAGGATTTGCTTATGTGCAATTGGTACAGGAACAAGGATGCCACTTGTTTTTTCTGTGTCTGTTACAACCGGGATTTGCACCAGCGAATAAAAAGAACATTAGTACGTGAGAGAGAGAGAGAGAAAGAAAAAAAAAAGGCACATTGACAAGAAACGACGCTTAGGGGGACAAGCGCAAAAGATATCATTTACTCCGAATCGGGGAATCGAACCCCGGGCTTGACGGATCTTTGTTGAGAGCGTCAAATGTTAGCCACTACACCAATTCGGATTAATTGCATCTCCAGGCAATTTTTGGAACTTATAATCCTTAAAACTCTGGTCAGCCAATAGGCAGCCTAGGTATTGAGCTTATGGTATTTATAATATTCCTGCACAGATATAACAAATCAAGCACTGTAAGCAAGTAATAATAAACATGTCTTTGGCAGTCTAAGAAAGCTCTTGACCAGAGTCCCCATATAAAAAATATGTGATATAGACATCTTCACGAAATGAAGTGTAGCAGTTATCATGGGTTCTAAGCAGCAGCTGTTTGCTGACCTCTGATGCTGGTAGAATTGCCTTCAATATTCAGAGGGTTTTATCACGGCTGCTTGGTCTCGAGGACTCAGCTTCGAAGTCCTTTGAATTGCAGTCTTCATACACGCTCCATGTTCATGGAAGCATTACGAAGACTACCTAACCTAGTAGGTACATGCTAAGTATGTATTCAGAAGGCGCAGGTACATACGGACATGTAGATCCACATGAAAACCATCAGCAAGATGCAGTCGAGGCAGTGACCTCGCGAATAGTACCCACTTTAGTACAGGTCGGCGTACCCCACTCTCGAGTATGGACTGTCAGAAAATGGCAGGCAGCTGGTCAAGACTGCACAAACGAATCGATTAGCCCTCCACTCCCACACAAGAAAATTAATTTGCGGATCAATCGCCAATTCTCGACTTGAGAATTATCACCAACCAATTTCTCTAGACCATCCACCACAAAGTCGAGGTACGAACGCCGCCCATATACGCCCGTACACCCAAAACCGCAGCCGAGAACTAACAGTGTAATTGGAAATAGCCCAACGATTTCAAGATGGCCTCAAGACCGACCGTCACCATCATCGGCAAAGATGGTTCTCCCTCGGGAGCTACCCATCCCATCCCGACCGTCTTCGCCTCGCCCATCCGACCCGACATTGTTCAGCAAGTCCACACCGGTATTGCCAAGAACAAGCGCCAGCCCTATGCCGTGAGCGAGAAGGCCGGTCACCAGACCTCTGCCGAGTCTTGGGGAACTGGTTAGTCGCCCGACCTCCCAGATTTTGCGAATGGACACACCCATCTTGTAGCTTGCAACGCAGAGAACGCGATTGGACCATACGGGAATTCGCTGGAAGAATTGAGTACTGACATGATTGACGTCCAGGTCGCGCTGTTGCCCGTATTCCTCGTGTCTCCGGTGGTGGTACTCACCGTGCTGGTCAGGCTGCCTTTGGTAACATGTGCCGGTCCGGTCGTATGTTCGCCCCTACCAAGATCTGGCGCAAGTGGCACATCAAGATCAACCAGGGCCAGAAGTAGGTGGAGACTCGAAAATGCTTTTGCGGTATGGAATTTGCTTGAAACTAACATTGAGAAGGCGATTCGCTACTGCCTCTGCTCTTGCTGCCTCGGCTGTTGCCCCTCTCCTCTTGGCCCGCGGTCACCAGATCTCTACCGTCCCCGAGGTTCCCCTAGTCATCGACTCGGCTGTCTTCGAGGGAGGTGCTGCCGCCAAGACCGCCAATGCTTTCGCCATCCTGTCCGCTGTCGGCGCCTCTGCCGATGTCATCAAGTCCAAGAAGTCCAAGAAGCTGCGGGCTGGAAAGGGCAAGCTGCGAGGCCGCCGCCACCGCCAACGCCGTGGACCCCTCGTCATCTACGACCCCGAGGTTGATGGTACCGAGCTCGTCAAGGGCACCCGCAACTTGCCCGGTGTTGAGACCAGCTCTGTCTATGCTCTCAACCTTCTCCAGCTGGCCCCTGGTGGTCACCTCGGCCGATTCATCGTCTGGACTTCTGCTGCTTTCAAGGCCCTTGACAAGATCTACGGCACCACCACCACGCCTTCCGAGCTTAAGAAGGATTTCCTCCTGCCTTCCAACCTCGTTGCCCAGGCCGACCTGACCCGTCTGATCAACAGCTCCGAAATCCAGAGCGTGCTCAACGCCCCCAAGGGTGGCTCGCTGACCAAGCGCTCTGGCATTCAGAAGAACCCTCTGCGCAACAAGCAAATCAGGCTGCGCTTCAACCCTTACCACTCCACATTCGTCAAGAATGAGCTCGGCCAGCAGAAGAAGGAGGCTGGCAAGCCCCCTAAGACCCCTGAGGCCTTCCTCAGCATCCTGAAGGAGGACTAAATCAGACTAGCTTGGTGAGCAGCTTGTCTAACAGATAACGTATAAAAGAGCATCGGGTTGCGATTGTCATGGGCGTAATGGGTTCATAGGGTCACGTGAATCAATGGAATTGTCATTATGATCATTTATCCGCCCTACCTTCACCGTCTTCAATGCCTTTTTTTCCTGGGTCGTGATATGCTGCGCTGTCAAAACTAGAGTGATTGAAACGCATTACCACAGGTAGTTCTTTCTGGACAGCTGTCATTTCATCCCTCATCCCCACCCCTCGTGTAACGAGTGAATTGAGCAGTACATAGGTAGACTCCGGGTTCCTGGATTTGTATATTTCGAGTACCCAGGCCTGTAATATCCAACCATGTCACTTTCGAGTGACGGGCACAACGCGACCAAAGACTCACACACTCAACCTCTTTGAAAGCTAAATCAGACAGAGTCTAGAGATGCAAACAAGAGCTAGTGGAATCATGGGCTTACTTATTTAATTGATCTCAAGATTGATGCCTTAAGTCTGGACATTGCTTGACTATATCTCCCGTTAATATGTACACCAGTGAGTACACAAAAAGTCTCTCAGCTGTCACCAGACGGTCCGTGCCGCTCAATCGGGTCCCAACTTTGATATTTAACTTTAACTATGATTTTCGGCAAGACTGCTGCTCGGCTTTTCGTATGAGATTGGCTTTCTCAATCCATATCGCCTGTCTGTCCGAGGTCTAGCAACCCATCACGCCCATATTCGGAAAATCTTCAAATTCCTCTACCTCTAACGAAGCTGCTTCATCCAAGAGAGCCTCAATCTCCGCAATCTTTTTGATGCGCCAAAACTTTTGCACGGCTTGCCCAAACCGTATCGAGCAGGCACTAATCATCTCATCTGTCTCCGCGGCAAAGCATAGCCGGAAGTACGACCAGCCTTCCCGAGCAGCGATTTCGGGGGTGGCGCTGAAGAGTATTCCCGAGCTCACGGCGACGAGATGTGGCTTGTGCGTTAAGAAAAGCATGAGGGCTGTATTGAGCGCCACTCCATTGATCACGCTACCCTGAGACCCTATGGCCCCGAACAGCGGGTGAGTCTCAAAATGCATCTTAAGCCATAAGAACATGCCACCGCGCGGCCATTTAAATTCGTACAACCTGGTCTTCGTAATGACGCCCCAGTCCGAGTCGGCGTCACGAACTGGCGTGGATTGCTTCAATTGATAGGCATTCTCCTCGAGAAGGTTACACATTGTTATCATACGCCTTTCGTACTCACCACGCAGACCCTCGAGCCACCGGACCCAGCCATCCGTCTTCCAGCCGGTGAAGGTGGCTCGGTCTCTGGATGATCTCGCATTGAAGGCGGCGGTAGCCTCGGGCTGCGGGCCTATGATGTTCTCGGCAATCAAGGACTGGACAAAACCGGACGGTTGCTGGGGGCCGGTCTCGCCCGAAGCAACGATTCGTGTACAGATCTCCGGTGTGGCTGTGACCCAGCCAAGCCGACAGCCCGGCGCGACTGTCTTCGAGAACGTGTCTAGCCGGACAACCCGGCCGTCATAATCGACGTTGAGGAATGAAGGCGCCAGCGAATCTAAGAAAGAATAGCCCGATTTCATTGGCAGGGTATTGGCGGCCTTGAACTCGGGGATTGGTCGATTACGTGCTTTCGCCTCTTCAACCTCTGCCGATGGGAATTGCAGATACCAGTAAGGGTCGTCTTCGACGATAATCACGTCATATTTGCTGCATATCTCGTAAAGCTCCCTCCTCCGCTGAAGCGAGAGAACCCCGCTAGTTGGGTTGTGGCCCATTCTGGTGTGTACCATTTTGGTGAGCTGTGCGTTCATTTACGAGGGGGTGTTTCATCCGATTTTGCGGATTGAAGACAGACATAGACCAGGAGATACTTACGAGACTGTGTACAGTAAATGGGGGCGTTTCCCTCTCGTGTCATCCCAATTGGCTAGAACATCCTTCAGTCCACCAGGGCCATACGGTGCCATGCCCTCGTCGTCCATTTCGACGGGGATGATCTGGACGCCCCTAGGTAGAGATTGGGTCTGGATGCTGGGATACATGAAGATGTCGGCTAACAAGCCAGGCCGCTCTCGTATGTCATTCTTCCCTTCCACCCAGATGTTGGTAAAAACATCGAGCACCCTAGAAAATCCGTCCGTCGCCCCGACGGTCAAGGCAGTCTCGGGGCCCCCTTTGTAAGGGACGTTGGGGTGAAGGCATTCGCGAGTGAATTGGCGAACATACGAAGCCAGGGGCGGGTAGCCGGAAGCCTGACCGTACTGGAGGGCGGTAGTAAGATCAATCTTCTTGGTGACATCAGCAGCATCGGCATAATGGGGGACGACAACGTGAGAAGCCGCCTTGGGGCCATTGGACGACGTCTTAGTCGAAGACGTGGCTGAGGAGAGAGCACCACCAGCACCGGGGCGGCCTGACGTCGGTGTCCATCGATGAGGATGTGCTGATCGCGCCTCGAGTGTGTCGAAGGGGAAGAACTGGGCGTTGGGAAGACCTAGTGCAAGACAAGCTCAGCGTAAGCGCAAGCACAATAACGAAAAGCGCATTAAAAAGTGAGACGAACCGCCGGCAAGATTGCCCATGCCCGGGATAGCATTGAGTTTGTAGTATTTCTTGAGCACATTGGGCTTCCGCGCTTTGGTGAGATCGGAATAATGGTGGCTCAGATCCTTCGGCGCCGGCTTGGCCGTGTCGACATCGCAGCGGATTGACCGGTCCATCTTGACTTCGGCTGGTCTCGAAATGTCACGACGAGGCGGAAGACGGGATGTCAACTTGACATAACAATTATCACCTCTCTCTACGTTCTACGGTGTAGTACACTAGACTAAGGAGGTGCCTTATCTAGCGCTAAGAGT